AACATGGCTTCCACTTTGATAGCCGCTCGCTTGGCCACAACATATTTCTGTAAAAGAAATGGTTTCATTGGGCCTGGTCGAGCAATGCGATGGGCAAGCACAAGAGAAGGTTTAGGCATGGATTTTCGAGCTATGCTCAAAACCCGCTGCCACCTACCTCCACAAGTTGGTTACATACTTCAACCAACCGCATGTTACTGCATGTATGGCATGTCTCCATAAAGGCAAATCCGTCAGGAAGAAGTCGCAGCTGGAGCACATCTTGCTGCGCCCGGACAGCTACGTGGGCTCAGTGGAGCGCCAGCACCAAGAGCTCTGGAGCCTCGTTGATTCTGATCGACGCATGGAGCGCCGGGCCCTGTCCCTTGGCTTCGCACCGGCAACCTCATGAAGGGCCCCTGAGAAAGATACTTTTTGTTTTTCTTAATGAGTAGTTGGAGGCTGTTGTCTAAAAAAGGTATTGATAAAACAAACTCGAGGTAGGGAAATGGATGACTGGGGTGAAATGTTTTGTCCCCCAAAGACTGGCCTAATCCTAGATCAATGTTCAACAGGGGAAGCCCTGCAACTTTTCCATGAACCCTGTATTTTGTGGGGCATGTTTGGTTTGACCTTGGAAGCATCCACCATTGCGCCGCCTGGACCAGTCGATGTAGTTTGGTTAAATGGCAATATAGTGTAGCAGACACATCCAAATAGAGTCCTGAGTGGCCCTTGGCACTGCGAGTTGTAATTCACACACTGCATCAGCCACGGTGTTGCTCAGAGGCTGAACGCTTTGTTTAGCTCCATTGTTTTTGCAGGGGCGATTTTTGCTGGAGCAGCATTTGCGCACTGCCCCCCAAGTGACAAAAGTGAGGTCCTTCGTCCCTGCGCTGTACAAAATTTTCGATGAGATCTTAGTGAATGCGGCGGATAACCTGATCCGTGACCCTTCCATGGACTCCATTTCCGTGGACATCAATGTGGAGAAGTCACAGGTCTCCGTCTGGAACAACGGCAGGGGCCTGCCCATTGAGATGCACAAGGACGCGGGCTTTCGGGCTTTCGGCAGGGAGCTTGCCGCGCAGCCGAGTTGGTTGTGATGCCTTTGACTCACCATATAAAACACCAAGGGCCGGAAGGGGGAAGCCTCTGAGACTTCACTTGATCCGGCGGCCGAATTTCAGGCCGTTGAACATCGAGGCCTTGTTGGGGGGCAATCTGGGGTGTGGCATCCGGTGGCACGAGGCTTGCCCCCGCCTGATTGGCCCCCCGAATCCCGATTAGCGCACAGAGGAGCATCGCTGCTATGTGCCGGAGCTGGTCTTTGGGCACCTGCTCACCAGCGACAACTACGACGATGCCGAGAAGAAGGTGGTGGGCGGCCGGAACGGCTACGGCGCCAAGCTGACCAACATCTACTCCAAGCTTTTTGTAGCACCCCGGGCTTCAGTTCTGCATTTTCCTTTTCGCTGGTGGGCACCATGTGTTCATGCACACTCTCCTCAGAAGCTTCTTTGCCCTCATGGCCCAAAATGCAAGTGCTTCGCTCTTACAAAGGTTGAAACGATCGATTTGCTCGGGCATGAAGCCAGCCCTAATGTTACACCCCGATCTCGTCACATTGTTCCATGGCGAGACCGCTAGGTGGAGACTGTGGACTCCGGCCAGAAGAAGCGATACAGGCAGATCTGGCGGGAGAACATGCGGAAGCGCGAGGAGCCAACCATCTCCCAGTACGAGAGCCAGGAGCAAAGCAGGGCGCCCCCGCCGGGGCCGGGATCCGCTTCGCGGCTTCGCGCAAGGGATGGAGGGATGCCGAGGGAGGTCCAAGAAACGCAGGGGACAGCCCATTGCAAGAGGTGGCGTCCATTGCTTTCTTAGTGCTCCCGGGGCCCGCGAAAAGAAGCGGAGAACCAGGCATGCCTATCAACTTTTAAAGCGGCCTGTGCTTGATGTGCTTCACCGTGAGTTTTCATGTTCGCGAGATGACATGAGAGTTAGACATGTTCGTTTGGGGTCGAACCACTTTATGTGCGGTCCAGCATCAGCGTTGCTGGTCCGGGGCATGACCCAACACATGGGCAGAGTCCTGGGGGGTCCCTTCCAAACCGCTTGGTTTGAATCTGCCGCCAGGACTACACTTCCGTGACCTTCGAGCCGGACTTCCCGCGCTTCGGCATGCGGAGCCTGGAGCCGGACATCGTGGCGCTGATGCGGCGCCGCACCTTCGATGTGGCCGCCACCTCGCGGGGCTGCAAGGCGCAAGCAGCGCCGACAGCGCGGACACTGCGGCGCCCCTTTTGAACGAGAGAAAGGCGGTGGCCCATTTATACTTCTTGAAATGTGACTTCAGCCCTTTACAAACATGATTCGGATTGAATTGTGTGGGCGCTTATGCTACCAGATCGGGAAAAATGCGGACCCTAAAAGGATGCGTTTTGGAGGGAGGCCGACTTGCGACATTGGATTGCAACGGGTTCCGCCAGATCTTCTGGGTGCCCGCAGTTCGGATTTCAATTTCAGAGGCCCACGCACTGAAATGTGGCTCCCATCCATTTACCATCCATTTTGGATGAGTTTGGAAGCACCTCAGAAACGGTTTGTATCTGTTTATAGCTTCTATTCTCATGACTCGTGCAATTTGGCGCCTGAAATGGGCGTTGTCAATGCTGTGTAAAGGACGTGAGCACCAATGCCAGGGTGTTTCTTCAGCCCAGATAAGTTGAGCGTGCTCCAAAGGAGTAGCAGCATTGCATGCTTAAAATATTGTGGATTCCATGGTTGACACCACGCGCAAACATGCGCATGGCCAGTGCAAGAAATGCGACCAACAAGCGCCGCTGCTGCAATTTGACCCTTGCCAGGTCTTTCTAGATGGTCGCCGCTTAGAAGTTCAGTCCTTTGAGGACTACGTGGGCCTCTTTGTAGGCGGGGAGGGCATGCCGGCCAGGACCGGACCGGACCCTTAGGCCTTTGTGCGGCCCGAGCCAAAGACCACTGGGCCCAGTTGGGGCGGGTTTTCTTGACTGCTATTGGGTTGGATCTTTAGGCTTTAACTTTTTGGGAAATCATAGGGGTTTTCCACTAAACCCCCCCAAGAAGTTAAACTTTTTGCAGGGGGGGCCAACAGCAACCAAGTCCACTGGGCCCAGTCCGGGTGTTTTTTTTTTTTCGGCAGCCCGCCGTTTCGGAGGCGACGCTTGGCGCCACGTGGAGCGAAGCGGAGAGCGCTGGGAGGTGGCGGTGGCACTCACGGATGGCAGCGGCTTTCAGCAGGTGAGCTTTGTCAACAGCTCCCTGGCTCGGAAGGGGCTGGGGTCATTGTCTTGATGGTTCTAGGGGTTGTCAAAGTCAGAAAATGGGGTTGTTTCCCTTTAACCAACTTTAACCCAGCACTTAGCAAGTGACTTTGATCATGGTAAAAGAATGAGGCCAGGGGGGGGGTCCGATCGCTCGTGCAAAAAGGTTTCAAGTTATTAAAAGGAGTGTGTAGCATCCGCAAGGAACCCGTTTGTTGGAAACCTTTGAACGGGTCACCCAAGATACGAAAGAGGTGGACTTTCGCTCGGAAGGGTTGGTGGTTCAGCCGGCCGGCAAATGCTGGCTGGATCTGGCTAGCCTGGGCCAATGAGCTATAGGCATCTGCACTAGCCGCGGCGGGACTCACGTGAACTATGTCGCTGACCAGATCGTGGGACGTGTAATGGAGGAAGTCGGGCGGCAGAAGGCATTCGGCGGGATCGATCGGTAATCATGGGCTATTGAAAGAATGACGCAGCTAGCGGTGCTGTGCTCGTAGCATTGCACTTTTCCCCATGGAACAGTGAAACCCACACTCAAGCAATGCTTGTTTGTTTGTTTGTTTGTTTGTTTGTTTGTTTGTTTGTTTGTTTGGCTCTGCTTTGAAGTCATTGCATTTATTTGAGCCTGTTTGACTTGACGCAGTGGGGAGGGCTTGGGCACGTTTCCATGCAGATACTCAACCAACATGTTGCGTAAGTGATGAGCTTGGTGAAACCGACTCCGGTGGAGCCATCCACGAGTTACGTAAGTGTGGTTTCATTCCGGGGCTGTGGAGCTCCACGTTGCATGGCTGTTCCGTTCTCGGCTCCCGGCGACTCAGATGCCGCTGAGAAAAAAAGAAAACGAGCGGTGCAGGCGGGGAATCTCTCGGTGAAACCTGCCCATGTCCGGAGCTACCTTTGGGTTTTCGTGAACTGCTTGATCGAGAACCCGGCGCCTGGGCGGGCACTGCACGATTGTGAGATTGGGAGGGAGATGGCTTGGGTCGTTCAATTTCTCATCCCCTGCTGGGCACCAGCAAGTTAAGACGATGTTTGTTTGTATTTCCCGTGTTTTGAAGGGAACCTATCACTACTGGACATATTGTCAAGTTTTGCCCGGGGGCGAAAAAGCAAATGAAAGGACAGGATTCTCACGGTACTGGCGCTCTGAGGGCTGGGTCTCTGAAGCCTGAAAGATGCTCAGCCTAGCTGAAGGGCTTGGTTCTTGCAGACGGGTCTAAGAAGCAAGCGAAGGGCCAAGACGAAGCACAAGCATTCACAGCAATTTGCAGTGAGGAGGCAGTGTCGCCTTCAAAAATCGCCCCTGAAAACATTGGCGCAGCTCCTGTTCGAGTTTGTTTTGGTGTTGTCAGAGGCTCCCAGAGCTTGCTCCGCCCCTTCCGTCATTCAGCCGAAGGGGCGGCGAGTTGGTCACATCTGCTCGCGTTTCGATGGGCAAAGTGGCTGGGCCACTTCTGATCGCCAAGCCGAGGCCTTCGATTCCCAGACGAAGGAGAGCTTGTTGCGTTGGCTCGGTCAACTCAGTGCTCACTCCCCGGGGCTTTCTGGATTTCACGTTTGGGAAGACCGTTCCACTGGCAAGACGGTTGCGATCTGCTAAGTGGAAATCCAGAGAACCCGACCCGAACCTTAAGCTCTCATCCAAATGGGTTTCCTTGCAGGTTTTTACGCTGTCCAGGTTAGATGGTGCCCAGGGATGACCATGTGATGCAGGCTCCGGCAATCAAGTCAATAGTTTGAAAACGCGGGCGTCCTTACAAGCATTTTGTTTGCCCTTTCCCGGACAGCCAATCCGAAAGCCAGCATGCTGGGCAGGTCCCTCGTTACAACTCACAGGCTCCGGCTTAGAGCAGCCATTGGCTTTTCCCCCCCCCCCCAAGATAGCTGAAAGCTATAGGGCTTCTGACTTCTAGTAACAAGGAGGAGTGATTTACGACATTGACAGCTGGGTGCTAGGGGGCGTGTGTGCAGTTTGGGGTCTGGGTGCTGCTGACAGTGTGGACGTATTTTTGCCAGAGTGACGGCAGGGGGATACGGGGCATGCAGTTTGGGGTGCTGGCAGGTGCTGTTTTGGGTTGCTGCTTGTGGTGCATTTTTGAGAGGTTGATGCAGTTTGTCAGGTGCTGTTTTGGGTGCTGTTTGGGATGCTGCTGGAGGTGCTGGTGACCGTCATTTGTGCGAGATTGGCGGCAGGCGTGCCGTTTGCGTTGCTGATGCAGGTGCTGCTTTGCGGTGCTGTTTTGGGTGGTGACGCTGCGGGCGCATTGTTTGCAGGATGGACAACCAGGTGCTCGGAGGGGTTCTTGGGGTGCTGTTCTGGGTGTTGTTGGATGCTGGTGACGGCAGAGGCGCGTTTGTGCGAGATTGGCGTGCTGCCGGGTTGCGCAAGCGGTTGGGCAATAACCTTGCGTCAAGCTGAAGGCTCCAGCGGGTCCTATCACGCAGCATGAAGCGGAGTCTATGGCCCTGAGGGAGAAGCATTGGCTTCATTCTCGTGGCGTTGGTGTTCGCGAACTTGTGAGGCTTGATGCCGAATGTCGAATGCCCTTGTCCTTGCAAGCCATTCCAGCTCTTGGATGTGCTTTTGTCGGCCTGGTGCTGGCTCTGCTTCCAATCGGCTTCTTCATCATTGGCCTGATGGCGTGGATGAGGGCGTTTGGCAGTTCAGGGACATCAGGCGTTGAGGCTGCTCCTCTTGGCGGCGTGGGCGTGGTGAATTTCGGATTCAGGTCCTGGCTCAAGTGCCTCCGGCGGATGTGCCGGTTGCGGTGGGTTCTTTGCAGTTGGGAATGATGGGGATGGGAATGACAAATATATGGCATACCTCGTATCCAAGGTATACAGCGTAGAGGTGTCATTGGAAGGCGTCGAGCTGAATCCGCCCAAACCAGTTCTTCATGCCTTTCTGTCACTTACCAATGAGGTCATCGTGGCACCCCTAGTTGATTCTGACGAAGATGGCGCGGCAAATGGGCGTGTGTCAAACAATTGGTGGCCCCAGATTTCTGGGTCAAATGGCGTCCACGTCAAAGGGCCCCCGAAAACCGAAAGGGCGCCATGGGAGTCCAGGAGACGCTCACCACCAAGAAGGAGCGCTTCGGCTCCACCTGCGAGCTCTCAGAGGATCCATGGCGCTCGCGCGCGCCGGCGCATCCATGTCCCCCAAGCCCACGGAGGGAAGCGAAGAGCGCCATGGGAAGAGATGATTGCACGACCCAGGGGCAAATCGCCCGAGAAGAATGAAGAAACCCCATGCGAATGGAAAGCCCATTCCGAGGGCGGTTGGTTATGGGATGAGAATGGGGCATATCCCAGGACCCAGCCCGGCGGCGTTACCAACCTCACATCTTTGCTGACTCCTGCATTTGTTTGCGCTTCATTTTCAGTTTGCTCGATGGTGACTCATGATGTGTTCGACTCGCTTGTTGAGCTTGAGGGCTTATTTGGGATTGGTTCATTCACATCGGTAGCTTGTTTGCCAATCTCAGCCCCCCACCCCACCCGCAACCGGGGTTCAGCCTCCCGGCCTTAGGAGCTTCTGCAGGCGGTGCTGGGCAGCGGCCTCGTGGAGTCACTACAGGAGCGCGGGGAATGGCGGCAGGAAATCTCGAGGGTCTGATCCCCACATTTTTTTTGGGGGGGGGAGCCCGCAAGATCCAGAGGACGCGTACCCAGAGTCCCGATGATAAATGTTGCAACAGCAAGGGGGTCCATCGCTTGGACACTTCCGTGGCGCTCAGTGAAGGCCAGTCGGTTGAAAGTAGGCGAGCAGAAGGTTCCTGTGAGCGGCGGGCTTTTGCAACGACCTGCGTTTTGCGTGGTTTGAGGCAAAACCAACAAATACCGTGAGAAATCAACGACAACCAGGAAATCCATCCCAATTTGTTGAACTCTTTTAGTTCAAATTTAGTTAGAGTTTGCTAGGGAAAGAATGCCCGCAGAATCTCTAGCTTCAATGATACCTCCTTCAATTCATCAAAGGTCATGTCCTCTGCCTCGAGTAAAATCTGGATCAAAAGTGGAAGGTAGCGCAAGATGACGCGAGCTGCTTTCTGAACCGTTTGTGCACACGTTCCAATCCTGAGGAGCCTTGGGCTTGTAACAGTTTGTACGAAACATGCCACCGATGGGAAGGTAGAAACAGCTGAGTCAAGACTTCGGGTACGGTGCTCTTTTTGCTTTCTTGGAACCACCTTCCTGCATTGAGGCCCCGAGCCTGCTTGGGCTGTTGTTTCGGTTGTGCTGGTTGAACTCCCCAAACATTGCTCTATTGCCCCTAAAACAAAAATCGCATGGCATTGCCACCAGTGGTCCAGCGCTTCTTGGGGCAACTTTGTGTATTTCCGTCGAGGGTTTTGCGCCTCGGGCCTCGGGTTTTGTTTAAATCACGTCTGAGCGAACTTGAGGAGTGGTCCAAGGCCATGGGCCAAAGCGAGCTGGCACGGCATCTGCCACTCAGCAGAGCGTCTGAGCGTCTCGGGGGGGGGTGGGGGGGGAAGGAGCTCGCGGGGGGGAAGGAGCACACCAATCCAAAAACCTTATTCGTTGACGGGGCGGACACAAAGAGGTAATGCCATCTGTCCTGATTTGCACATTGACATGGTTTTGGAGGAGACCTCAGTTAAGTGGGAATCGAGAAAACCCGCTGGCATTCAGGCCAACGTTTGATAAGCTACAGCTAGATTGGAACCCACCAGTGTGTCGACGCAAAAAATGTTTATGTCCTAGGCTACGGGTTGAGCGTCCGTCGCCCAAGTGCTAATTCAGGGTAATCCCCTCCAGGTTGGTGCCCCTTTTCGTTGAGGGCGTTTTTGTAGACATACCCATGCCTGCCTGGTTTGTCCAAGATGCTGTTTGTTTCTTCTTCTTTTTTGGGGAGCTGCGCGAAATGGAGCCTCCGACTAACGAAGGGAATTTTGTTGCGGGAGAAGATGTTTGAAAGACGATATTGTATACGGTAAATGACTCAACATTATATCTTTAACTAGTTTGTCCATGTCTATTGTAGCCTCTCTATCTATCTGTCTGTCTGTGTGTCTGTCTATCTATCGGTTTTTCGCACAGTATCCTCCTCCCAGTTGGGCCTCTGGAGCGCTTTTCCTAGGAACAAGAGCGAGATGGGCTCGCAGAAGCGGCTGTTCGGCGTGCCGAAGCTGGAGGACGCCAACCAGGCGGGCACCAAGAACTCCCAGGACGGGCGATGACGGGCGCAGGATGCTCGGGTTTCGTGGGCCTCGTCGGTTTCGTTTCTGGGTTTGGGGGGGTGGGTTGCAGGTGGGTTTGGGGGTGGGTTTGGGGGGGTGGGTTGCAGGTGGGTTTGGGTGGGCTTGGGCAAACCCGCGTTTTTTCTCTTCCTACTTTCTGTTTGCAGAAGGGAAAAGCTGGCTGAGTTTGTGGGGAAAACGATCAGAATCCCACAGCATGTTTAGGAATGCTGGGGACAGTAGGGCGAGGGTGACTCCCATAAAACTGGAAATCACACACATATATGTGGTCCCGTGTTCCGTGTTGCTACCCCCTCCCCCCCCAATATGGTATGGGTCCCCCAGGACCCCCCCCCCCCCGGCCCGAGACCCCGAGCCCGGATCATGGGCTTGGTCCCGCGATGTGGGGGACCACCTTCCCCTCATTGTTCCCAAGAGGAAGAGGAAGAACTTGCTGGAGAGAGACAGGACATGGCACCTGACGTTTTTTTTTTTTTGTGCGTGATTTTTTTTAGCATGGTAAATCGCGGCTTATTTTTTCAACATTATTTGTGGCGGCTGTGATGCTAGTGGTGATGCTGGAGTGAATGGCAACGCTAGGTTTCGCTGTTCTTACGCACGCAATTCTACGCGAGACGCGACGCCGTGCTAGCTCCGATCCTTTGCTTCTCGAAATTGTGTGCACTTTTGAGTCGGTGGATGAAATTGCTTTGTTTTAGTGCTTTGTGAAGCTTGGAAAGTGATTTACTTCCCTTGCTACCGGAGATATCAGATACGAGCTCCTGTGCAACATGGACAAAAAGAACAGGTGTGTTTTTTCGTCCTTTGTTTGGGAAGCCCCTTGTTCAGGTTTGGAAAGGTGACCTATAGTCGACTTTTCCCGTACCTCGATTTTTACCACCCGTGTGACGCAGCGCTCATTTCAGCTAGCACAGTAGTGTTTATTGCTGGCAATGGTGGTGATGCAATCGTTAGATCCGAGGTCATGGCCATTCTTTCGACGCATTAGCTTGCTGGCGATGCTGGTGATGCTGGCCATGCTGGTGTTAGTGTCTCAGCTAGACACGCTAATGCTGGAGCTAGTTTTCCGTGATAGCCAGTTGTTCAGTTTTCTTTTGGCCGGCAAACGCTACCACCCGTGTGACAAAGCAGCTAGTTTGCCGGCGCTCATGTCAGCTAGCTTACTTGCGTTTATTGGCGCCATCGTTAGGTCCAGGTCATGGCCGTCGCGCGTTTGCTGGCAATGCTGCGATGCTGGGGTTGGCATCTCAGCTAGACGCGCTACCTA